CGCCCTCTTCTGGCCTTCAGGCATACACACAGACAGAATATTGTATACATAATAAATAAATAAATAAATAAATAAATAAATATTTTTAAAAAAAAGAAAATGTAAATATCAAGGAAGACCCCTGTCCCTGCCTCCCTCTCACCAGGGGGGAGTTTAGCTGGGTTCTTTGTTCCTAACTGCAACCACCTGTGTGATAAAGATTTGAAACATTTTATTATTTCTTGATGCACAGCGCAGTTGGCCAGCTCGGTGGGTCCCACATGACTAAGCTAGTTTAGCATGGAGGTAAGAACGCGTCTCAAAGGAGGTCACGCCTTCTACCCAAGGGCAAGATATTGTGAGCGGTGGGAATTGGCAAACAAAATCTGTGTTCTGTGGGTAGCGCTGTCTGTATGCAGGGTGGGGTTGCTCCTGCCGTCTGCACACTTGCCACTCTGTCGTCTCGTGATCACCTCGTCTGTGACGGTGGCTCACTCTTTAATGCTTGTTCGATAACAAAACGGGTTTCCTCGTCTGTAAAGGACATTCTGGCTGGCGGATGTTTCTTTTCCTATCTCTGCAATGATCAACTTTGATCATCTCTGCTCCTCCATAATTGGTGGCAGGCGGGCTGCCCACGGAAGGGACCCTCCTGACCAGCTCAGGGATCAGCAGCTCCCAGCTACAGGAAGGATGGCTGGGAATGGTTTACCCAGGTCTAAGCAGCACCAACGATGCCTTGCAACAGTTTACAATCAAAGCTGTCCAGCGCCACAGAGGGAACCAGGCAGAAGCAAAGGCCAGAGAGAGATGCCGTCTTTGGAAGCCATTTTTTCTTTGAGAGTCCAGACTGGAGCCAAGTATCCTCAGCTCTAAGTGTGTTACGACTGTACAGCTGGCTTCTGTTCCACCAGTGTGGGACCTACAGGGAGGTCCTCTGTCCTACCTCAAATGCGAGCACCTGCAACCACAACCACTCTGGGTTGGACGCAGTACTGCACAACCCATGTGAATCTACTCATTTAACACCGCATCTGCTGCAGTAGGCAGGTGGGCCTTCTTCCCATTTTACAGATGGGAAAAACCAAGCCTCACGAAGGCTAGGTAACTTTTTCTAGCTCAACAACTGGTTAGATCTGTGCCTTCTGCACTAGTTTCATTTCTGTGGCTTTGATAAAATACTGTGATTAAGAAGCACCTCAGGGGATAAAGGGGTTAAGCCACAATTCCAGGTAACAAGGAAGTCATAGCAGCAGGAATCTGAGACAGCTCCACAGTCGAGAGCAGAGAGAAACGAATGTGTATAGGCTTGCTGTGCTCAGCGGGATTTCTCCACTCTTGCACAGTTCAGGACACACACACACACACACACACACACACCTTGCCTAGGGATGGTACCGCCCACAGTGGGCTGGGTCTTCTCACACCAGTTAACTTAAAAGGCAAACCCTTCTCTATTCAAGTCATGCCACAGGCTAACCTAATATGGACAGTCCTTCACAGAAACTCTCCTCGCAGGCGATTCTAGTCTGTGACAAATTTGACAGTAAAAACCATCACCCAGTTCATAGAGGACAATTATGAAGGATCTGCCACATGTGAGGTCTTTGCCAAAGAAGTTGGAATCCAGAAGACAGTCTTCTGGTCCTGAAGGGGGCTTCAGATCAGAAAGGAGACACTTGCTCAACAACGGAAGGGATTGTGGGAGGAGAGGAAGGCAGAGATCAGAGAAGCCGGGCCAGAGGGTCAGCAGCCGGGAAAGGGAGTCGAGACTGAAAGTGCTTCCCAAGCAAGGAGATGCACCTGGGAGGAGGATCGCAGTGGGAGGAAGGAGATAACAGCTATCTGGGCTCTGCTTGCACTGGAGTAGGGAGGACGGCCCCAGCCATGGACAGGAGATAATTTGTTCCTCTGTAACAATGTCAGGGATTTCAGATTTCTTTCTTTCTTTTTTTTTTTTAAAAATATTTATTTATTTATTTATTATGTATACAATATTCTTTCTACGTGTATGCCTACAGGCCAGAAGAGGGCACCAGACCTCATTACAGATGGTTGTGAGCCACCATGTGGTTGCTGGGAATTGAACTCAGGACCTTTGGAAGAGCAGGCAATGCTCTTAACCGCTGAGCCATCTCTCCAGCCCCCTCAGATTTATTTCTAAGGACAGTAGAGAACCATAGTTGGTTTGGAGGGATCCACCGAGTCGTTTCATAAGGTTCCAACCCAGAAGATCTGAGTTGAGGGGAGTTCTTTACTGTGGCCTTTGTAAACCCTAGTCAGACACCACATCCTTGATATTCAAGGACTCTGTTTTATGCTATTTGTGTTCCCGTAGACAGGATCTAACAATGAACTGAACTCAGTTGTTTTTTTTTTTTTTTCACTTGATTTTCACAAAGGAGAGATGGAGATTGCCCAGCAGGTAGAGGTGCTTGATGCTAAGCCAGATGACCTGAGTTCCATCCCTAGGACCCAATGGTGGAAGGACAGAGCCAACTCCTCCTGCAAGCTGTCCTCTGCCCTCCGTATACACGTACCACCCACACATGAGCACATAATATAAAGTGTGGATAAAAGGTGTTGCTGAACCTGAAGTTCTCCTCTGGCCTTCACGCACATACACACATGCATTAGGAAAATAATAAAGCAAAGGTAAGCACTGAAACTACCCACTTACACCCGGTGACAAAAACCTGCTTTGGGGGTTCAAATCCAGGACGCAACCAGGGACTCACGTTTATAAGCCTTGCTTTTCTTAACTGCAGAATGGGTATGTGTATGGTAATTATTGTTTTGCCAGTGAGGGCATAAACCGCCCCATGTATGAAGGAAGGATTGTTGAGTGGAAGACAATTGAAAATGGACACCATAATCTCTAATGTCACACAGTCACACACAGGAATGCTTCCCACCATGCTTTGATCAGCCTAAAATCTAAAAGGATTTAGATTCAGGGTTAATACTATTCTCCACATAAGCAGAGGGCTAGAAATAGGACTTCCCAAAAGACAAATAGTATGCTTGACCCAGCACACACCTGAGAGTGAGTTAGTCCTGGGAAAGGCCAAATTATATTCAGAAAGTGCTTAGCACAGAGAATAGATAACCATTTTTTGACAACTTAATTTGGGGACTAGGGGTGTAGCTCAGTAGATTGCATGCCTAACCTGCACAAAACACTGAGTTCCGAGCAAGAGGTGGAGGCAGGGGGAACCAGAAGTTCAAGGTCATGCTCCAACTCGTCGTCTTTCGTCATCTTTCAAAAGCGTCCTGAACTACAGGAGACTCTCTCACACTGTAACTCAGCTCTTGCTCCTCCTGCCTCAGTGTCCTCAGCTGGGATTACAGAGTAAGTCATCATGGCCGGCTTTAATTTTTAGTTATTGTGTGTGTTTGTACACTCATGTCATGAAATGAAGGTGGAGGTCAGAGGACAACTTGCCTGAGTCAGTTCCTCTTCCTCCTATGCGGGTTCTGGGATTGGAACTCTGGCCAGCACGCTTTCCTGCTGAATCATCCCACCGGCTCCCCACTCCCGACTTCATTTATTTATTTACGAGACAGGGTTTCTCTGTGCATCCCTGGCTGTCCTGGAACTCTTTCTGTAAACCAGGCAGACCTCGAACTCAAAGATCCAACTGCCTCTGCCTGCCTGGGTGTGCTGGGATTAAAGGAGTGCACCGCCACCACCAGCCCCACACCGCTTCACGAATTTGCGAGTCATCCTTGCGCAGGGGCTCTGCTAATCCTCTCTGTATCGATCCCGTTTTCGTAAATGTGCAGCCGAAACGAGCACCCAGCCTAATTTTTTTTTATGCTAATGCTGTTGGGATATTCAGAAGCAGGAGAGGCGCCTCCACAGCCTTGGTCTTTCCTTCCCAGGGCTCCCGCGGACCTGGTATGGGCGGGGCACCACGGAGCCACGCCCCGGGTGGGCGTGACGGAGTTTCGTGCGCTTCCCTCCGCGCCCGCGCGCGCGCGCCCGCGGAGCGGCCCCTCAGGTACGCGGACAAGATGGCGGCGTTAGCGGGGGATAGCGCTATGGAGGTGGTGCCGGCGCTGGCCGAGGAGGCCGCAGCCGAGGCGGCGGGCCCCAGCTGCCTGGTGCAGCTGCCGGGCGAGGTGCTGGAGTACATCCTCTGCAGCGGCTCCCTAACGGCGCTCGACATCGGCCGCGTGTCCAGCACCTGCCGTCGCCTGCGCGAGGTGTGCCAGAGCAGCGGCCAGGTGTGGAAGGAGCAGTTCCGGGTGAGGTGAGCCGTCCGCTCCATTCCCGCAGCGCCCCTGGCCCGGGCCTGGCGTGGGCTCCACCCGCCACCCTCCCGCGCTCGCGCCGCCCCCTCTCAGGCCCCGCTTCCCGCGGCCGCAGACAAAGGCCTGGGCCGGGGCCTCCGGAGCCCCGATGGGGTCGCCTCCGCCGCCCGCGACCCGGCCTCCCGCTCGGCCCCGCGGCTGCGGCCTCCCGCGCCTCCCGGCTCCGCGGCGCGCATCTTTTGTGGCCCGCTCGGTACAGGATGTTTACGTGCCGGCGGTATTGCGTGCATTCCCGGCTGGCTGGGATGCCGGGATCGGACCTGCCATCCCATCTCGTGACCTTGGGGGAGGAAGGGGTGCCGTCCACCTCCCTTCTCTGCAGCCTGGGTCTTCCATGCCGTGATTAGACACCTTCCCTCTGGTTTGCTGCGTGGAGGAATCTAATGAGATGCGGTCCCGAATTGCGGGGCCTGGTGCTGAGGAGGCGCGCCATCAGTGCAAACCGTTAGCATCATCGCCTTGATCGTGTCCACCACGGAATGGCAGGGTGGGGGTGGAAACACTGTCTTCCCGTCACCAAGCCAAGGTCACCGCGTCGAGTAGTGAGGCAGTGCGTGGATGCCCGATGGAGATTGCAACTAGAGCCGCTGCCCGCCCCCCCCCCCCTTTCCCGCAGGCTCCTCCGCTGTCAGGGGTTCTGCAGTCTCCGCTGCGCTGAGAAAGGTGTTTTCTCCCCTTATAGGTGGCCCTCTCTGATGAAGCACTACAGTCCCACCGACTACGTCAATTGGTTAGAGGAATATAAAGTTCGGCAGAAAGCTGGCTTAGAAGCCCGGAAGATTGTAGCCTCCTTCTCCAAACGGTTCTTTTCAGAGCATGTAAGCGCCTGTTATGTGGCTCAGGCTGTGTGTGTGTGCGTGCGTGTGCGTGTGTACACACATGTGTACACGCGCGTTAGCTGCTCGACTCTTACTGCCAGTTCCCTTTTCGATGCTCACACAATCCCTTGCTTAAACGACTGTAAGAGTCATTGTGTCCTCTTCCCTCCCGTCCAACAACACGGAGCCATTTGTCCCTGCCAGCCCTACTTTTCTAAAGCGAGAGACAGTGGGCTGTGAGGAAGGGGAGGGATACACAGGGCGGTGTCCACTGGGTCCAGATAAGCCTTATTTTTCCTCAAGATTGTTACACAGGCTTTGTGCAATCCCCGCGTGATTTGAGAGCCATCAATGATTGGATACTCCAAAGCTCTTACACTTGTTTTCCCAGGAAGGCTGCCGAAATAAATGCGGCCCAAACTAAGTAGTGAACTGCGTTGTTTGTTAAGGTGCTGGGGTTAAAAACTGCCTATAGCTCACTGGCTAGCATCGGTTGCTCCCAGCAATTGAGAATTTTTGTTATCACTGCTGTTCTTTGTTCTGAGGGGAGTTTCACCCTGTACCCCAGGCTGGACTTAAACTCTTGTCCAGCCTCCTGAGGGCTGGGATTATGAGGAATCATCGCCAGACCTGGCTCAAGCTGCTTTTCTTCATTGGCTTAAATCTTTTCCGTTTTGGAGTCGGTTGTTTGCCCCTCGTCCAGAATGTCCCATGGAAATCCGTGTCTGTTCCTGATGCTGCTTTCCCTAGGGCTTTCCCGGTTCTCCACAGACTGGGCATCCAGTGGAGCTGACACTCTTAGTTTTACTCTTCTGGTGTGATGGAGGTTGTTTTCTGAAGATTACTTCTCATTTTCCACTCTGCTGTTAACGGAATTTATGAACAGTGTTTTCAAGGTGTTTCAAGTTTTGAAAGGGCAGATTTGACTTTCAACACATTCTAACTCAGTCCTCTACGGGACTACATATAGACATTCTCCAATTTGTTTATATAAAATGCTTATTAGTAGCAGCATGAACCAAGGTTTTGTTCAGCCTGGAACAGTGCCCTAGCCAGTCTATAATCACACTGGCTTAAACGTGTACATGCACACAGGTGTTCTGGTGCAGGACATGTATGATGCGCTTCATCACAGGCTACTGGTTCACGGCCTCTACTTGTAAGCCAGCTGGGTTTGTGTGTGCCTTCAACAGTCTACCTTTGTCTAATCACGGTGGGTTGGTGAGCTTTTCCCTCTTCCTTCCCTGTACCATTGCTTACTTAATTAGAAGCTTGTGGAGGACTTTGAACACAGCAGGGGCATACTTAGGGTGGACTCACAGGTGGGTGATTGATTGGTATTCTTATTTTCTCCATGTGCACACAGTCACCATGAAACACTGCGGCTGCTCTCATAAGGAAAACTGGGGGACATCCCAGGACTTTAACCCCAGAGTCTTAGTGTGCCGCCACCTCGATAGCCATTGCACCATTACCTCAGCATGCATGTGCCTCCACCTCAGCACACATGTCTCATTGCCTCGGGGTACAGAGCAGAGTGCAAGCCAGGGAGCCCCAGGAGCACCTCTGTTTCAGACTAAAACGTCTTACCTCTCCTAGTTGTGTGTAGTAAAGATCTTGGAAGATTGGAGACTTGCAGCCTCAGCCTGTATGAGCTCTTCACTGCACATGAGAATCTGGCACCAGCAGGCTCAGAAACTCTCCGACTGTGAGAGTGAGGTGTGTGTGACTCAAGTGCCAGGGCCTGAATGTGCTGTGATTTCTCTGTTGCTTTCTGCCCTGACGGCCCTAAGAGATAGTGTGCAAGAGCTTCTGTCACTGTCCCCGTGTGCAGCTGCTCTCAGTTCTGGCTCAGCTGTGTGTCTGCCAGTGTTAGCCATACTAACTCTCATGACTGAGGCCTCCTGTGTGTGTGTTTCCCGTAGGTTCCTTGTAACGGCTTCAGTGACATTGAAAACCTCGAGGGGCCAGAGATCTTTTTTGAGGATGAGCTGGTGTGCATCCTAAACATGGAAGGAAGGTAAGCCATGGCTCTCTCGGGGTCATCATCATGATAACTGCAGGGGGAGAGCCCTGGTGTTTGAGATACTTCATGTCTTGGCACAGGTATCATTTTGAAAAGTGGTGGATGTGTGAGATGAGCACACCAGGACATTTGGCACACTGTCATTCCCTGTAGCCATAGGCGTCTCATCTGTGGATGCAGCCAACTTTGTATCAAAACTATCCAGAAAGCTATGCATGGGGGCTCATGTCTATACTTACAATACTCAGGATGCTGAGGCAGGGAGAAGCAGCAGGTTCAAGAGCTACGTAGTGAGTTGCAGAACACCCTGGACTACGGAGTGAGACCCTGCCTCAAAATAATAAAATCTTTAAAAAAAATATGTCAAGAGGCAGGGAAATGATCAGTCAGTACAGCTTGCTCTGCAGGTGTGACGAGCCAAGTTTGATCCCCAGTGGCATGCACTTGCTCTTCTTGTGCTGGGCTTGATGGCCACCAACTTAGCCAAGTGGCAAGCACAAGGCTCCAGAGAGAGATTATCTGAGAAAGTGTGTATGACTCTCAAGGAATGACACCTGAGATCCACCTCTAGCCTTCACAGACGCTCACACCTGTGTGCTCACATGTGTGCGCACATGCTTGCACACACACAGATTACTGAGCATCTGCAGACCCTTTTTCTTGTTGTCTAAACAGTGACTACTTACATTGCACTTAATGATTTAGGAGCGATTTAAGGTGCAGGGGAGCGTGAGCTTGGGTTCTCTGCAGATGCTCTTCTGGAGGTCCTGGCTTCAGTTCTCATCGTCCACGTTGGGTGACTTGCAGCCCCCTATAAACCAGTCCCACAGGGTCTGATTCCTCTCTTGACCTACTTGGGTGCCTGCATTCACATAGCCACACAGGCACAAGCTCATACACAAACACATCATTTACAATAAAAATAAACCTTACTCTTACTGTTTAGAATGGTATATCTTATGTTTTCTGCTGGAAAGCTTAATTTCCAATTTAGCAGTGACTTGCCATGCAGCCTAACCTCCTGTGGGAGAGATCCGCTGTTCTAAAAGTTGGAGAAAAAGATACATTGAGAGAGGTCACTGCAAAAAGTCCTGACCAGGAAACAGTGTTTCATGGGGCTTTGTGGGGAGAGGTTCTAGGTCTGGGTGCTTCCCCACCCGAGTCTGTGTGTAGGTTTATGTAAGCACTGGAGTGTTCACTGACAGTATTGTGTGGCCTCATGATAGTCTTTAGGCATGGCATATATAGAGAAGGGTTCAGGGTGCACTTTTTGGCTTTAGTTTGTGTGATGTAAACTTTATTTCTTATTTACACTCTTCCCCTGTTCTTTCCGCTGCTGATTTTATGTTGGCCTTTCCTGCCTCCACTTTTTGCTTTTCTTTTATAGTGTTGGATGCCAAACTCAGGGTCTTACCCTGAGCCAACTGGGTGCTCCACTCCTGAGCTCTTAGCCCCACCTGTTTGGTTTTTAATAGCTAGCTACTTTGTCTTTTATCCTAATCCTAACTACATGAGAAAGGGGAGGGGATCATTGCTTGTGGGATCCTGCTCTGCTTTGTCTTAGAATTACCACAGGGATCTGTCCTGTCAACTGCCCCAGGAGGAGCTCTCTTAGCTAACAGCTATCCTGTCTTGCAGATTGGCTGATGGACAGCCACTTGCTGTCTGCTTTAGAGGCTTTTGTTCTTAGTATGTGGGTTCTCAGGAATAGGTTTCCTAGGTAGTTGCAGTGTGTTGAAAACGTGCGAAAATTAATATACTATCCAGTGCTGCTCCAGGTAGATACAAAAAAAGCAACGAAGATTTGGGGATGGGAAGGTCTTTATTTTGCTTAGTTGCTTTTCCATCTGGATAATGTTGTCATAAAATAAGTGCAGAGAAGTAAATCTACAAGAAGAGCCAGGAAAAAAAAAGTGTTTAAATGAGTGTAATGGGAAGCTTGCAGTATGAGCTGGTGGGGCAGAGTGTGAGGGAACTTGTGATCTCAACAGAGCTCTGTAGGAACGGACAGGGACAGGATGCCAGAGGAGTTCCCCAGTAAGAGGTTGTTGAGTAGGGAGATGCATGGAACTGGATGCCCAGCTGGAAACCAGCAAACTAGCCTTCTACTCAAAACTTACTCTCAAGAGTAACAGCCCACACCACAAGTCTGTGACTGGTAGGCCAGGCTGGGAACCGGAGGTCCTTTGCAGAACCTGCCACGCCCAAGGGAAATGGGCAAGGCAGCAGTTTTAAGGAAACACCTTGGAATTCACTCTTCAGAAGAATGTTAAAATCACTGGGAAAGACTGCCTTTTTGTGCTAGTCAGGTCATCAGGAAAGCTGAACTCGTGTAGCCAGTGGAAGTATGTATTGTAGTTGTTTTCAAAGCAAGTGTTGTAAGCATGTTGCCCTTGGTGGGACAAGTGTAATGGCAGGGAGTGTTCTGTCAGTGTGCACGGTGACCCTTTCTGCTTCCATTAGTGCTGTGGAAAGCAGTGGGAGCAGGCAGTTTCTGTAGACAGTCAGGTGCCCTCTCTGGGTGTGTGATGACTACCTGTGCTGTTCTGTGTGGTCTGAGAAAGCACAACCTGCAGGAACACTGTACTACAGCACATTAAAGAGCTTGTGCTGTGCCTGAGAAAGGAACCTGGGTGGCCAGTGCCCAGCCAGACACTTGTAATAGAGGTACTGGATTTTAGACTCAGAAAGGGCCTTTGGGTATCCAGGCAAAAGAGATGAAGTCACTTCTGTGCAAAAGGAAGACTGATTTCAACAGCAGCACTTTATGCCAGAGGAAAAAGGTATTCCAAGGCATAAAGGAAATGCCAGCCAAGGATTTTTATATCCAGCTGAACTGACTTCCAAGTATAAAGGCTAAAGACAAACTTGTCAACTTGGAAGAACTCAGATTTTGGGCTCATTCTGACATGAAATGGAGTTTGAAACCCAAAACCACAGAGATAGTCTGACTCAGGTCTACTGGTGAGCACTGAATGGACATTAACCTGATGTTCTGCCTCCAAATGAGAGTTGTCTAGGAGACAGTACTATGTATGTGGTTAGGGCAGCTGGAAGAACATTGGGCAGTGGTCTGGCAAGATGTTCAACAGGTACAGGTTCTTGCTGCCAAGCCTGAAAACCTGAGTTCAATCCCTTGGATCCACATAGTAGACTCTGCAGACTGTCCTCTGGCTTCCACATATGCCCCATGGTCTGTATGTACACATGCCTGGGTAGACACACTCACTTGCCTACACAGATCATGGACAGATTACCCAGCCTCTTTATTTTCTGAGAAATGACAGGAAAACTGGTCATTACACTCAGGCCAGACTTGTGTGTACATGGAGATGCGTGTAAAGCCAGCGAATGACTGCCATGCCATCTCTAGTGTCATAGAGGGGCAGAAGGAGGTCAAAGCTGTATATGTCTGTACTTCCAGTCCCTCCCTTCAGTATGGGGCAGCAGTGTGGGAGAGGCAGAGCATGTTGGTCTGCTCCAGAAAGGTTAGCTCTATGAGTCCCCAGTACTATTTCAAGACATTCCTTGGTCTTTGAAGGAAAATCAAAAATGAGTGAAAGGGATAGGCAGAGCATTTGTCCTGTTTTTGCTACATTTTATCCCGTTGGAAAACTAGAGAATAGACGAGGGTTTTGGAACAGTCTTTCCAATAAATGAAGAGGGGCTGGTTCAGTTAGAGATATCTGAAGGAGCAACAGTCCTGGACACTGAGCACAGTGGCTGCTGATACTGCACAGGGGACAGCCAAGCATTGTCATCAGCTCCATCCCACCTTTCTTTTTCATTAAGACAGTCTCACTCTGTAGTCCAGGCTGGCCCTGCTTGCAGCCTCTGCTTCCTGAGAGGATCATAGGCATGAGCCTTTTTCTTGTGGTGCTGGGGGGGTAGAAAAAGGCTGGCGAAGCAAGCATCTGCCTCTGGCCTGCATCTGCAGGTGGCTTTTGGTGGAAGACTACCCCACCTTCTGGAGTGGCAACTGGCCACACAACTGGTATTTGAATTTCACATAGCCTCTCCAGCTACTTAGTTGTGAATTGATTTTGTGTTCTTGTTTGTTGTGTTCATCTATGTATATGTGAATACAATCGTGCCACAGTGCATGAGTGGTCAGAGGACAGCTTGTAGGAACTCGCTCTTCCTTTCTCCCAGTGTAGATCTTGAGGATCATGCTCAGGCTTGGCGCCTTTCTTGCCAGCCTTTCCATCTACTTAGCAATAAGAAATTTGGAGCAAGGTAAAGCTTAGATGGACATATTCTGAACTTAGGTAAGCTACTATTAGACAGTGGGGAGACCCTGCAGATGACTGAGACTAAAAGATCCCTGAGCAGTTCAGGGATGTGTGTGGGCAGTCACTCTAGAGAGGCTCAGGAGATGGCCACAGAGGCATGAAGTGTGATTGTGCAGCATCTCAGAGCTGTGCTTCTTGGCTTGCGCGAGGAATGCAGCATTTACCCCACACCTTTGTTGGGGGTGACTTTCCGCAGCAGAGTTAACGAGCACCTGGAACCAACAGCTCTGCTGACTGTCACTGACCTCTGTGAGTGGAAGAGGCCTTACTGTTCACACCATAATCTCGTGTTTGGGAGACCTGATGAAGTGCTTCACACAGAGTCTTCTACACACCCTCGGTGCACAGGCGCTACTGTGGCCACTCAGGGTATAGCTGTAAGCAACCCCACATCCCTGCCTTCACAAGCTCGCAGGGTAACAATAAAAACACACAAGCTGTTGATCTTCTAGGAAGTGGCACGTGCTGGGGAAATGCTGAATGAACTAGAGTGTAAGGGTTGTGGGGCACTTTTTGAGGTAGGATAGCTATGGAGAGGCCTGACTCGGGCCATCTGAACAGAAAGCCAAGAGGAAGTAAGAGAACAGACAGCAGGCATCCAGGAAAGGAACATTCCAGTGAGGAAGGTGCCAAGGTGACACAGACAGGTCCTAGGTTAAAGGGACAGTGGGGGCAGTTGGAACTGAGATTTCAGAGGCTATGGGGATGGGATGAAGGGACATGTTATGTCTTTTCTAGAAGTTGGGCTTTTAGTGTGAGGAAGTAGAAACTGAAGAAGGGGAGCAGAGGCCATGGCATTGTAGGTGAGCATCCCTGGAACAATGCACTGCGTGTCAAGAGGTGATAAGGGAGAGGATGGAAGCAGGAGCTAAGGAGGAGGAGGGTACTGAGACACCCACAAAAACTGGGCCAGCTTTGCCAAGTTAGTGGCAGATGCTCATGTTAGGGTGTTGGAAGAGGGCACTCAAGGCATTCAAGATGGTCCAGAGGTTTGACCCTCATGGGCTAACAGCTTACTGTGACTTTGGGAATAGTGACTCACTAGGAGGAAGTCTTGGGATGCCCCCCAGTTATCTAGGCAAGTATGGAGTAACAACTGCATGTGCAGATGTGAGTTTTTTGGAAAACTTCTTCAGAGAGTAACTTCTGGAAAGGTGGCCGTATCAGATGTACCTGAAGCCATGAGGGTAGACGGACTCCCTGAGTGCACCGAGCACAAAAGGAGAAAGAAGCAGCCTGTGTCCTGAGTGTCAGAGCAGGCCTTAGGGACAGGACAGCACCTCACCTGTCACCTTCCAGGATGCCGTTGACAGCCTTCCTCCAGAGACAGGGTGTAAATGTCTCTGTGCCATTGAACCATCAAATCAGGGTGCAGAGCACTCTGCCAGCAGCAGTGCAGATGTGTGTCAGCAGTGTTTGTCTTGTTAAAGTGGGGTATATGATATGAAGGGGGGCTGGGCAACTGAAGTTCTCAGTGGCTTGATTGATTGCTTTCCAGGAAAGCTTTGACCTGGAAATACTACGCAAAGAAAATTCTTTACTACCTGCGGCAGCAGAAAATCCTGAACAACCTCAAGGCTTTCCTGCAGCAGCCCGATGATTATGAGTCGTATCTGGAAGGTGGGTGTTTCCGTGCCTGTGAGCAGGGGTTTTTGGCAGCTGAGCAACCTTTTAAGAGCTTGTGACAACTGTCCCTCCAGGTAGGGGAAAAAGAAAGCCATGCCAGTGGGCTTCAGGAAGTTGGATTACAGAGCACACAGCACTCAAACTTCCAGCAGATTCCAGTGGCATCTTCTGCATCAGCTCAAGTGATCTAGTGTCTTGAGTCATCACCAGCTTAGTGACAGTTGAGGACTGGATGCTCAGTCAGGAAAGCACTTGCCACACAGATGTGAGGAGTTGGTTTCTGCCCCAAGACCCGTGTAGAAAGCTAACTTGGTGCGTGCTTATAACCACAGCCCTGGGGAGGTGGAGATAGGACTCTTGCAGTTCTCTAGTCAGTGAGCTTGGCAAAAACAAGATGGACAGCTCCCAAGGACAATGCTGAGGTTGACCTCTGCCCTCAATACAATCACATGACCTGCAGAATGAGTGACCTTTGGCTAGTGGAACCAGTTCTTCCCGCTCAAAACTGTTACTTCAGATGTCCTCTTGCTCCTATTTACCTGTGTCCTGAAGCAGCTGGGGATTAGTGAGGACAGGCAGCGCCTGGGAGTAATGTGGCCTATGGCCTGAGGCATGACCTGACTGGGGATTAGTGCACTCTTAGGGGAATAGTAAGAAAATGTGACTTGGCTTTTTAAACACTGTCTTAATTCTTAGGAAGAAGCCTCCTGTGCTGTGGTTGTGAAGTGTGTGCTTATGTATCTTCCCTGCTCCTGGGGATCACTAGATCTGTTGACTTCCCCCCTCACTGGTGTTCTAGGTCACAACCTGTCCAGTATAGTTCTCCAAGCACTCAGCAGCCTCTCCGAGGAGTCCTGCCTTTCCCTGGGCATCACTGCCAACTGTCCTCCAGTCAGCCAGTGTGCCTGACCCACTTGTCCCCATCGCTGTAGGACCTGCCTTATGTTTTCTGAATGACTGCTTGCTTCCTAGGGCCCTCTGTGGTCTGGTCCTCCCCTAATGTCACACCTTTGCAAATTGCTCTGTGGTGCTCTGCTTCTGAATCCAGGCCTTTGCCTGGAGATGCTCAGCTTTTCTTCCTCACGGTGGCAGCACTGTTCCTGTGGTTCCCTGCCCTTCAGCTCAGGGCTCACTTTTGTGAGGTTCAGCTGATCCCTGCAGAGCTCACTGGCTTCAGCAGCTGCGGCTGCCGTGACTGTCACAGGAACTGCTGCACCACCCCTTCTATGTCCAGTGTAGTCATTGTATTTCTTTGCTTTTTGTTTTGTTTGAGATGCAGAGCACAGCCTAGCTGTCAGCCTGTCCTCAGAATGCTAGGTATGCCCAGCCCTTTAAGTGGTTTGTTATATTCCAGGCCTTGAGTAAAGATTGCCACAGCCCACAGTGCCTAGCGGAGATACATGCTAATGGTTGAAGGTCTGATGTTGACTGAAAGGAGATAGAAAATCTTGTAGTTAAATGGAAAGAAAGTCATAGCTGTCCTCTTGTCTGCTTTATACTTTGGAGAGCTGGGAGTTCAGTTCTTTTGAGGTGTTTGTTGTTCTCTTTTGTTTGAGGCAGAATCCTGGCTGGCTGTGTTGACCAGACTGACCACAAACGCACAGAGATCCTTCTGCCTCAGCCTCCTGAGTTCTGGGATTAAAGCTGTGCCATCATGCCAGCTTTCATTTAACAGTTAAGACTAGTAAAGCAGTTTTCTTTGTTTTTGTAGGTTATATATGAAAAATACTTGTTTTACATTTTTCAAATACAAAGTTTCGGTTTTCACAGTCCACCCAGGTCACTAGAAATGCAGTAGATGGATGGAGGTGGGTGGTCCTTGGACTTCCCACAGGGCAGGGAACCCTGATTGCTCTTTGGGCTGAGGAGGGAGGGGAACTTGGTTGGGGGAGGGGGAGGGAAATGGGAGGCGGTGGTGGGGAAGAGACAGAAATCGTTAATAAATGAATAAAAAAAAAAAAAAGAAAGAAAGGCAGTAGAAACTCTGAGTGGCTAGAGGGGAGAACTTGTTCCAGAACCTCAACCCTGGCTAGACTCCAGCAGCCACTGAAGTATGAACAGTGACTTACAGACAATCCCTATAGCCTAGGCTGGGTCTCCCGATGCCCTGAACTGCCTTCAGCTTCTTAGAGTGTTAGTTGAACAGGTAGGTCCTGAGGTAGCCTGTTGTATCTTGAATTTAAAAGATCACTGGAAAACTTTCAAGTAAAAATGTTCTGTAACCAGTGATGACTTAGGCATGGTATGAGGTTGGCTGAGCCTGAGGCCAGCAATGAAATGGGCCTGCTCTTTGTAGGCCATCAAATCTCCTTCTTTAATGAGGTCTCTTTGATGTTCCTGCTCCCAGCTTAGTTGTTAGAAGGAATTGCCTTAGGAAGTCTTTAGTGGTTGGGTTTTGAGTGTGGGAGACGAGTGGCCTGAGGGCTTTCTTGCAGGTATTTGGCACTCTTCACAATAGGACGTGGGAATCATGACCTCCAAAAAAATGATTTGTTTTGTTTTCTTAGTGGTGTATGGAGTGCTTTGTGGTGAAGGCATCTGATCTTCCCTTGCTGTGTTAGGGTTTTGCCTGGCATCTAGGGTGGGAGCTGGTGTGATATGAGAAGTCACAGCCCCAGGTGCTGGTTCAGTAACACGCTACTACCAGTCAGGTAGAAAGCAACACTGACTGCCCTTTTCACCCACAGGTGCCGTTTACATCGACCAGTACTGCAACCCTCTCTCCGACATCAGCCTTAGAGACATCCAGGCCCAGATCCACAGCATCGTGGAACTTGTATGCAAAACCCTCCGTGGTATCAACAGCCGCCACCCCAGCCTGACCTTCAGGGCAGGTGTGGAAATGCTGTAGCTGACCCTGGGGGTGGCTGTCTGAACGGTGTAAAGCACTGTTGCTACCCTGTCTCTATTCCCAGCCCGGCAGCACTTGACTGTCTCGCATGCCCTTGCCAGTCGCTGTGTGTTCGGGGTGTGCCTTGCTTGTGTTTGGGGTGTGAGTGTTTGGGGTGTGCTTGTTCATGCTTGTGACCCAGAGGAGATCTCTGTGCTGCAGGCGAGTCCTCCATGATAATGGAGATAGAACTCCAGAGCCAAGTTCTGGACGCCATCAACTATGTCCTGTATGACCAGCTGAAGTTCAAAGGGAACCGCATGGACTACTACAACGCCTTGAACCTGTACATGCACCAGGTATGTGTGGCTGAGTTCCCTCCCACAGCTGTGGGCTCTGCAGCATCCTCTGTGTGCTCCCTGTAAAAGCACCATTAGATGCCTAAGCCTGCAAGTGTGCACACACATGGGGTTCGGACACTGTTGGGGAAAGGGTGGGTGTGTAGGTTCTATGCCCCTACTTTCTGCATTTGCAGATTTTGGTGCTCCAGGGTGCTCCATCCCTGGCTCTCTTTTAGGTAGACAGGAGTGACTGTGTGTGTGCAGGCACATGTCCTTTGGACTCTGATGGGCTGTCCACTTCCTACTGACAAATGCTGTTGTCTTTCCCTTGTGTCAGTGAAGCTCGTTTTCCTCTGTCGTAGGATAGCATGGTGGGTTAGATCTGCTACAGGATGTTTTTTAATTTAAATTTTATAGATATTTTTTAAAAGGTATCAAATCGGCCGGGCGATGGTGGCGCATGCCTTTAATCCCAGCACTCGGGAGGCAGAGGCAGGTGGATCTCTGTGAGTTCGAGACCAGCCTGGTCTACAGAGCTAGTTCCAGGACAGGCTCCAAAGCCACAGAGAAACCCTGTCTCGAAAAACCAAAAAAAAAAAGTATCAAATCCTATTATAGATGGTTGTGAGCCACCATGTACTGGGAATTGAACGCCCTGGTCCTCTGGAAGAGCAGCCAGTGCTCTTAACTGCTGAGCCATCTCTCCAGCCCCCAGGATGGCATTTTTTAAGCCCTGTGAATGGAAATAGACATTTCTGTGTTTCAGTTTGCTCAGTCTATGACTGTATGTTTCGAACCGCACAGCCTGCCTCTGTTGGCCTGGAAGCCTATGGCTCAGCTACATCAGCCACACACCTTTGATGTCCATTTCCTTATCTGTTCTGTTATCTGTAACATGGTTTCTGTTGTCATATCACAGACATTTTTACACACTTGCTTTCTGGTAGGAGGAGGCCAGCAGGCTGCCTGTAAAAGACCTGGCAGTGAGTCAGTCCAGGTTCACAGGCTGTGTGGTCTGTGTGCTCAGATCTGTCTTACTGGGTGAAAGGGCGCAAGCAATTGGAGTCTTGGGTGACTGTGCTCCCTTTGTGCCAGCAGAGCTATGTGGACATAGAACGTGCTGGTTACAGTTCTTTGCCAATTTTGAGATAAACTCTCACTCGGTAGCCCAGGCTGGTCTTGGACTGTCTGTTCTCCTGCTTAGTCTCCTGGGTGCTGGGATTATAGGCCTGGCCCATAGGACCTGGCTTCTGTTATTTTCATGTCACAAATGATTTTGTTTTTAGAATAGTTTAAAAATTTGAAAATTCAGGTATGTGCAACAGCTAAGTGGTGGGACACTTGCCCAGAGTGCACAAGCCTCCAGCTTCCACACCTAGCCCTGAAAAAAACAAATGAAAGCTAAAAGCAAGGAATTGGGTGTGGGAATGGTACACACCAGCAAGGCCAGCACTTGGAAGACTGAGGGGCAGGGTGGCTTTGTAAGGAGACCCTGTCTAGGGGCTAGGAGAAGAGGCAAACTTCTGCTGACTGAGAAACACCCAGTGTGCTGGATTCGTTCCCTGATCTAAATGTAGCTCTGGAGCTAGAGTGGGGTGCCAGGCACTTCGAGCCAGCCCCTAGCCCTCCTAAGCCTCCGCAACCTTCATCCCTCAGGTATTGACCCGCAGAACAGGAATCCCCATCAGCATGTCTCTGCTATACCTGACCATCGCCCGGCAGCTGGGTGTCCCGCTGGAGCCTGTCAACTTCCCAAGCCACTTCCTCCTGAGGTGGTGCCAAGGCGCAGAAGGGTGAGCCATCTTTGCCATGTTTTACGGGTGCTGAGGAACCGGGTTCTGGTGTTAAATTAGGTATTACCAAGCAGGCATCTGCTTCTGAGGGACCATGTTAAGGTTCTGGTAGTGATGCTGCACTGTAGTGATGCGAGGCCTTAAGTGGGGGTGACAGCCCTGCTCTGGATGCTTCTCTGTTTCTTACACAGGCAGGCATAGGAGTCTATAATAGCTCAAAATCCTAACTTACCCAAAGGGTCTTGTGGCTGTCATAGTGTGAAGGTAAATCCCGTCAAAGGTTCTTCCCTTTTCCCCTCAGCCGCAGAAACAGCCTCCTCCTCCCACACTTGTGCCCCATCTTAGAGAGGGGAGCACCGGGGGTGGGCAGCTTACAGCCTGGCTGAACTTTGTCGTGTTCTGGGAGTGGCCTGTGTCAGTTCAAGTCCTCTGCCTCTCCTAAGGAGAGTCTTACCCAGGGAGAACAGCTCTTCTCCACATCAGGGGGAAACACATCCCGGTGCCCTGTCCTGGACACTGGGGTGAGCAGTCCCTGAGCTTTGAAGCCAGGTAGGGCTTCTTTGAGCCAAACAGGGCCAGTGTTCTCTGTAAACACTGGCTTGAAGACTTCAAGGACAGCTTCCACTGCATGTGTGCTACACACACACACACACACACACACACTCGCCCTCTTAGTCTCCTGCTCTGTAGAAGAGAAGTGCAGCTGGACTCCACATGCTCCTCAGTTTCAGAAGGCATTTCATGACATGTGAAGCCCTCCCCCCCCAATCCGTTACTTTGGGTTTCTTTAAATTACTATAGACTCATTATTTTCCAAATGTGTGGTCCTCACAGTACACTGGTAGGTTAGTGTTTGCAATCTATTAAATACAATAGGATCTACTTCCTATTGTATTTAATAAGAAAACTCATTTGCAGCCCTAGTAAGCTTACCTATCTCCTTGTGCATCTGTAAGATACCCATGTGACATCCACTAAGGGTCCTGCATGATCTGAGCATTTCTGGCTCACTTCATTTCTAGTGTAAGGCCCCTTATGCACGTTAGTGACTTATTATGGGGAGTCTTCAGTATGGCAATAGTATTTTTCCCTATAACACAAATGAGTATGAGTTTTATTTTTTACTGTGTCAATTCTTTGAGACAATGGCTCACTGTGCTACCCAGGCTGTCCTGGAACTTGGAATCCTGCTTCAGCCTCTCTCCTTGAGTGCTAGTGTTACAGAGCTGAGCCACCACTCCAGACTTAAACAGTGCAATAATTTGTTAGTACCTGAAGTCCTGTCTGCTTGGGAGGCTGAGGCGGGAGAATCACTTCACTCAAGGACAGGGAACTGTAAAAGCCTGAGCCACCAGTGGCGATGCTGGCAAATGCATAGCTCTTGTTCACAGCTGGGCTCCATCCTCCCTGCCCATGCTGTACTCTGAGCCCTCCTACCTGGCAGCACAAGACGCACTGTTCAGATCTTAAAGTGCTTTGGCTCTTCTTAGCTTTCAGTTTTCCATATGGATTGGGAATCAGTAGCTTAGGAGGCCTGTGTGGAGTGGGAGACTGAGGCAGGAGTTTGTGGCCAGCCTGAGCTACAGTCTATCCCCTGTATCAAACAAGAAAACAAACACAAAAATTCTGCTTGAATATTGATTGAAGCTCAAAACTGCCTCTGGCTGGTTCTAGCTCTAAGGTGAAGATCCTGCAGCCTCCTGCTGTCTGTGATTCTGGTTCTGGAAGTCCATCACCAGGAAGTTTACCCTTTCCACACGACTGTGTTAGGGTTATCCTGAGCTACCAAGTGTTTTGTTTCTAGCTTTGGCTGGTACTTGTGTACAGGCCTGGCCTTCAGGGCTTGGCTGCGTGAGTCTTCCATACAGATGGTTTGTAGGTCTGGCTTTTAGTGACACCGCACAGTATCTGACCAGTGCTGTTCTGTTTTCTCTAGCTTAGTATGTTGGCTTTGTATGCTGTTGACCACATAGCAGTGCCCTTGCCTCAGGAGGATTTTTGAGGATTTTTGTTGTTTTTTGTTTTTTAACTCTATGTGTGTTGGGGGGGGGTGACAATTTGTGGGAGAGTCAGTTTTTTCCTTCTGCTGTTTGGGTCCCAGGGTTGAACTCAGGGCCTTGGACTTGGCAGCAAGCACCTTTACCACTGAGACATAATGCTTCTCCCTTCCACATTAGCTTGCTGTTTGGTGTGACATCTTTCATTGGTGTCATCAAAACTACCTTCTGAATTTCTAATTTTGTAAAGTTTTGTTTGTGGTGTTTGCTGTTTTGTATATTGAGACATGGCCTCTATAGCACTGGCTGGCCTGGAATTTGCAATATATATCAAACAGGCCCCCAAATCACAGAGATCTTCCTGCCTCTGCCTCTGCCCTGGGATTGAAGTCATGCACTACTGTGCTTGGGTAATTTTGCTGAGTTGTACACATATATAGACATTAGATTTTTTTCAAGGATGTATTTTTTATTATCTGTACATGTTTTTCCACTTTTGGTCTTTATGTATAGGAGTAGCTGTTTGGATTTTGTTGGGGGGCTTGATTTGTGCGTGTGCTGCAGATTGAACTATGCCTTATCACTGAGGTTTACCTGTCCCCGAAATGATTTTCTGTGTCCAGCTCTATATTCCTGGGGCACAATTAGTCCAAGTGTGTGTGTGTGTGTATGTATGTATATATA